CTGTGACCAGGTCTGGGCTGCCCACTGCAAGAGAGACATGGACACACAAGAGAGAGCCCAGTGAAGGGCCACCTAGATAACAAAAAGACTGGAGTATCTTTCTCTGGAGAAGGCTTGGAGGGGATCTCATCAATGTACAGAAATCCCTGAAGAGAGGGTGCAAAAAGGTCAAAGCCAGGTTCTTTTCAGTGGTGCCCAGTGACAGGACATGAAGCAATAGACACAAACTGGAACATAGCAGGAGCCTTTACCCACGGAGATCTTCAGAAGCTTCTTGGACAAGGTCCTAGACAGGCTGCTCTGAGTGGCCCTGCTCGAGCTGGGTGGGGGTTGGAGGTCCAGAGGTCCCCTCCAACCTCAGCCACTCTGAGGAACAGCTTTTCTGAAAGGAGAAACAAACAGACTAAACAAAAACAAAAGCCTGAAGAAAGGAGATGCATATGCTGTAGTACAACCTCCATATTTACCCTATTGCAAGGAAAATATCAGTACCAATGCAGGCTAGACAAAGAACACAGTTTCAGAAGTTTGCCACTATGTGGGAATCCCAACATGCCTGTGAGCCAGTGCCCTTCTTCCTGTCCCCAGCTACATCCAATTCTGCTTGTTTTCTGGCTGTAAGACACTACACTCTCATTACCTATATGGCATCAACACAATTTGCAAACTCAGAAGTACCTAGAACAACCTGTGAAAGCTGCTGGAGAATGAATATTGCCTCTGGCAAAGGTGTGAACTGCTTCTTCCATTCATCTTCATACATGAAGGCTTGCATCCTGCAAACATGGCAAAACTAGTCTGCTTAGATAATTCCCTCAGGGACCACCTTTTAATCATCTGTATGCTTATGTGGAATTTAATCTAGATAGCCTTTATACAAAGTTATCTTCACATCTTAGTTTATATTGGTTTCTCTGTACACACAAGCTTTCTATGTCAGCATTAGTCATTTTCCAAATTATATTCATATACACTGAAGAGCCAAAATGTAATTCTGCAAGGCTGTATAGAACATCTGTCACATAACATCTTGGGCAAAACTCTGAATTCACCATTTCCATGTTTATGTTCCCTGCGGATTAAATGAATTCTCAAATGAAAGCAGTTTGCAAGTCATGAGACAGTTAATAGGTCACTTCTGCAAAGTGTTTAGTTTATTAAAACAGAAACACGTGGTTCTTTCTGCATGCCGCTCTACATTTTATTCATTGAGATTAAGGATACTTGTGGGGGCAGTGCAAAGAAAGGATGGGAAGAGGCAGGCATTTTTTGAAACATACGGATGGAGTAATTATTGTAAAATATACCTGTCAGTCAAACGACATTCAGGTTGACTAAATACTATGCAAGGAGTTAAATTAAGCAAGTGCTCTTGCATCAGCTAGAGGGTACTTAGAACAGCAAACATGCCTACGGGTACAGAAATTACAAGCAATCATTTCAGTAGTTCTGGCCAACCTAGGTAGCAAGTTTGAAGATTCTTTAATAAAAAACAAACTTGTATAAGGATGTCTAGTATGGAATTATATTCTTAAAGGAACTTAAGTGTACAGTAAAACTAGCATTTAATTCTTCATTTCAAATGCATCATTAAAACTAGTCATGCTTTCATTACACAGTTAAAAATGAACTAATTCCAGCTCATTTTCAGTGTTATTTCATACACTTCTGTTATGCTTTAGAATAGCTTAGCAGAGCAAACAAGGCCTCTTCATCCAAGAGCACCAGAAATAGAAGTGTAGAAACAGAGACAAGAAAAGTCATCACAAGAAATGCCTTCAGACTAACCGAACCCCTACACCAGAGCTTTTCCCAAGGCTTTCCCATACTCCAGAAAGACAGAGCTCTGCAAAGCCTGGCTAATGCAGAAGCCAAGGCCAATGTGTTTCTGGAGAGCTCTTGTCTAATTTGGAGGTGGCTTCGGGTCTTCCCTCCAACACAGAGAACAAGAGCAGTCCCTGCACAGAGCTCACAGTTTTTTAATGCCAAAAGGTTTGGCTTTCAGCCAGCTCTGTGCTCCTGACACCTCAACAAACCAACCCAACAGCTCTCCTGGAAAGTCAACAGAAGCTGGAGGTGCTCAAAGCCTCTCAAGGTCACCCTTCAAGAAATACTCAGGCGTGTCTGGAGAAGCTGATCTAAGAATTATTCTTTACCAAGAACACAACTACAAGAATGCATAATAAATGCAGGAAAGGCATTTACAGACAGCACAATAATGCCACAGGCTGAGCCTTAGAACTACACAAAGACCTGCACACTTAATGCAGTGAGAAGACTGAGTGCTTTCCTCAGCACTTAGAAGGGTGAAGAAAAGAACTTACGAATTAATAACAGATTTCATCAGTAAGTGCTGGCTTAACAAAAACAACAGCCATTAGTGACAGATTCCATGGAAACTTCTCCATCAGGTGTCACAGAGCTCACTTATGTCAAGTGTTCTTACAATGTTTTTATGTAATACTACTATCAAATTAATAGGCAAGTATTTTTACCTGTGTAATTAGAGCTTGGAGTTTTTCAATCCATTATGTGTTGGTACCCTGAACTAAGCCAAAGCATCCCATTCAAGACTCAAAATAACAATAAAAAAAAGCTTATAACTGTAACCAGTAGGGGTCATTTCAGTGTAAAAAATTGCAGTTAAAGAGAAGACTAGAGATAGGAAGGAGAGTAAATACACCAGTTTCTATTCACACGGTTCTGTAAGTCACCTCCATTTCCCCCTCCCTGTACTAGAGTATGTAACATAGGGCTTTCACTCCCAATAGATAGTATTAAAAGGAAAGCAGCCTTTATTCTGTTAGCAGATAAATGAAAACTATCACTCAGTGCAATTGATTCATCAGGTATACAAGCCCAGCCCATTTCATGAGTGTTGGTGAACTGCCCAACAGTTTCAGTCACACCAATTAAAAACACAGAGCTAATCAACTTTATTTCAGAGAACAGAGGCAGCACATTAAGTCCTGTTCCCCCCCCTTGCCGCTACCACTCATACACAATACACACTGTAAGAAATAATGACGTTGCTTTTGTTGCTTAGAACGAGGCAGTTTCCTGACAATTCCCTAATAGGTATTCCAGTACTATTTGTTAGGCTGACAGTTCAGCTCAGTTACTTTTCATTTACGAGAATGAAAATTAAATAGATAGCTTATCTCCCCAACTATTCCTATAGGGACAGCTGGAACTAGTTTCTAACCACAACACTAATTGAAATGCAATCTTGCCAACAAATGCTTCATACTATTTTCAACAGTAGATGGGACGTGTTAAGAGTTGAACTACAGCAACGTACAGATTGCATCACTTCAGAGGAATGAAATACTCCTAAACTGCCAGAGACATCCATACTCCAATACAGGGGAGATAGAACACTGAGACATTTAAGGACTGGAGGCTTTCAGATCTTTTAACCGAGAGGACAGAAGTTCAAGCCAAGCATTTACTTAAAAACATGTAAAACCAAAAATCCATTCAAAACTAGGTAGGTCTTTTGAAGTAGTTTTCTGTTTGAAAACAACTTTTCCAATACATACTAAAGAAAAAAATAAAAAGGAGAGACTACAGCAACATACATATTTAACCTTATGGGCTCAACGAATGTCTTCAAAGCAGTTTAGAAGCATTTTTAATTTTTTAATAGGGCTTTTAACCATGCAGCTGCTCCTATGCAAGCAACAACAGACAGGACACCCTGGCTTGCTGTGGTCCGCATTTTACCCCTAAGCGAGATGAATGGAGCAAGTAAAAACTTGTGCCAGATGCAAGGCCAGCAGCCCACTAAGAAAGATCGGTTCTAGTTCTCTCAAAACAGTGTATCATTTTAAAGGCCAGGTTTTGGACACTGTCTGCAACAGCTTTTTGGACTTTCTACTGCCCTCTACCCGTCGAGAGAAGCAAGCTCCGCTCTTATTTTCCAGAATTGTCGAAGCTCACACTCGAAGTCTCACATACATTTCTACATATTCCAAACTACTGCTTATTTGCAAGCTCTATACAGCGCCATGTTTTCCCCCAGCCTGGGGGAAAGGCAAACTGGAGGGACAAGGCAAGACAAGAGAGACTGAAATGCTACTCTTTAGCCTTGTAGGAAATAACATATGAAAGAACTCTTAAGAGACTCTGCTAGATTCAACATTCGAAGAGGAGCTGCGAGCAGATCGCTTGCGCTTCACACTAGTTCATCACTTCATAAGCAGCAGGCATACAGCTGGAGCGGCTGCGAGTTGTCCTGCCATGGGGCTCGCTCCCGATGTGCAAAACACAGACATGCCTTATCGTACAGCGAGCGTGTGTGGGCAGACAGGCAGGCAGATATTAAGTGACAGGAACAGGAAGGAAAAACTTTACAACAGATGATCAGCCTTTGTGTTTCCTTAAGAAGAAGGAATCCGGAACAGACATCATGTGTGCAGTGCTGACCTCCACTGATCTCAGGCTGGCAAGCTGTCCCCAGGTCCTCTCTTATCAAGGAATTCTAGCGGGGTACTAACAGCTGGCTGGCTTGACATAAACTATTAACAAACCAGCGAGCTACTAAACAGAGAACGAAATTGGAAGAGCCTGACGTTACTGCAAGCTACCAAAACTAAGGGTGAAACTTTCAAATACTCTCCTCCTAAGCGAAACGGCTCGGAAGACGCCCTCGCAGCACAGCGGGGCGGGTAGAACACGGCAAAACACAGCAGCACGCGAAGCGACGCGGGCAGCTCCGCACACAGCGCTTCGATCCCGCTGCGTTGCCGCGCCGGGGAAACGCGCTGGGGGCACCGGCGGAGGAGGCAGGGAGCGGCCGAGGCATCTTCTCGCCGCAGGGCTGGGGGTGCTCGTCCCGTCCCGAGCCGGCGGCAAGACTGTGCGCTGCTGCACGGCGGGGCGGTGCGCGGCTCCGCACCTGGGACGGGGACTAGAGGGAGAGAAGGAAGGAAGAAAGGAAAGAAGGAAAGGAGGGAGAGAATGCGGCGCTCGGAGGGCAGCGTCCGGCCGCCCCTTACCTTCACAGACGCCCACTTCGTACTCGGTGATGGAGTCGCCGTTGAGCGGAGGGCGGATGACACAGCGCAGCCCCCGGTCGCAGGCGCCGTGCAGCCCGTAGACGCCCCCGCAGCTCTCGTTGCGCTGACGGGCGCACATGAAGCAACAGCCGCAGATGCCCAGCACGATGCTGCCGGGGCAGCTCTTGGGTTCCTCGCACTTGGACTCGTCGCAGGGCAGGCAGACGAGCGCCCGCGTCCCCGGCTGGCCCAGCAGAAGCGCCAGCAGCAGCAGCCACCCCGCCGCCGCCAGGTGCCAGCCGCCGCCACCTCCGCCGCCGTCTCCGCCCGGCCGCCTCCTCCCCGCCGAGACCGCTGCCAGGTACATCCCGGCCGCCGCCGCCCGGCCCGCGCCGGGGGGAGCCGCGCCGGAGCCCCCGAGCGCGCCGCGAAAAGCCGCCGAGCGGCGGCTCCTTCCCGCCGCCCCCGCCTCCGGCCCCCCGAGGAAAGTTTCCTCTCTCGGCGGCGGCCGCTCCAGCCAAACTTCTGCTCCGGGCGGCGGCGGCGGCTCCGCCCGCTGTCCCCCGCGGGAAGCGGCGTCCGTCGGTCCGTGCGTTCCTCGCCCGCCGGCTGCCGGCCCCGTCCACGCCAGAGGAGCGGCAATCGCGCGCGAGCGGCTGCGAGCCCCTGGGTGCGGCGGCGCCTGTGCCCCGCTCGCAGCCCGAGTCCCGACTCGCCTCCTGCCTGCGGCTCGCCCCGCTCCGAGTGCGTCCTCCGCCCTTCCCCCATTGGGCGGTGATCGCTCTCGCCCCGCCCTACCCGCCGGCTCGCGTCTCCTCATTGGCTGCCGCCTCGGCCGGCTCCGCCCGCTCCTCCCGCCGCCCCAGATGCCGGGGCCGGGGAGAGACGCAGCAAAGGCGAGGAGCGCCTGGGCCCCACGGCGGCGGCGGCCGCCCCCTCCCTTTCGCCCCTCCCCTCCCCCGCCTGGAGCTCCGGGCTCGGAGCTGATCGAGGCGGGTGCGCCAGAATCCAGGCGCGAGCCGGCGGCGGCCGGAGGGGTGTGCGCGCTTCCGAGGGACGCAGGGCATAGTGGGCGCGGGCTCCGCGGTGGGCGCAGGCACGGTGGGGGAGCCGCGAAGGGGACTCGGGGCCGCGAGAGCCTCCTTCTCTTCCTCCGCCCGTCCCCCGAGGGAGCGGGGCGCCGGGACGGGGAGCGCCTCCTTTCCCGCTCGGCCCCTGCGCTGCGGAGGGCGAGCGCCTCCCAGCCCGTCCCGTCCCCGGAGCCCGGCCCGCTCCTCTAACTTCCCTTACGGCCGCTCCTCGCGGCTCGGGCCGCGCCCCGGTAAACAAGCTGGCTCAGTCCGCTGCGCGGCTCGGGCCCTGAGACGCGCTCGCGGGGAAGGAAGGCGGCGGCCGCTACGAGAGCTGCGTTTGCGGCGGCGCTGCCGCCTTGGGCCCGGCGGAGGGTCCGGGGCCCGGCGTTGCCCGATGAGGCGGTTCGGCTCGGAAGGGCCGGCAGGAGGCAGCGCGCCCAGCGCTGTGCTGCGCTGCGGGCCGGGCCGGAGGAGCGTCCCGAGGGGCTGCAGAACGAGCGGCGGTGCCTGCGGGCGAACAGCCCGCTTGCAGAGCTCTGGAGCTGCCTTCCCCCAAAGCGGGCTCTCAGCAGCGCCCGAGGAGAAAGGTCATCTGCTCTGCTTCAGTTTTGTTCGCATGGGTACCGAGAAGGCTGTGGGATTAACTTATTCCGCTATCAGAATCTGTGTATGATGTTGAGGAGATTTAGAGAATGAAGTAATTTACTCAGCAGGTGGGATTATGTCAGCTGCACAATGCTGAGCCTGGAAAGTCTTCAGTTGTGCATGCTGGTGCCAATGATGTGGGGAATTTAAGGAGAGAGGTTCTGGAAACTTAATATAGGTTATTAAGAAGGGTGCCAAGGTATGGATGGTTTCTCTAGTTCCAAACACTCATCCACTTTCTCAGAAGAGCCAGTTCTGATGTCAACTGGAGACCTGCTCTGGGAGGGCAATGTAACAGACAGGCTACCGGTAAAGAAGAAGCACTAGTGTGAAGCTCTGTCAGCAGTGATGCCTCTTTTTGCTGTGTAAAAAGCACTGTGATTGACTGAAATGTATTCTAGTCCTCTTCTATCAAGGTTCCCTGCTACCAGCATAGGCCCACTACTGATGGACATTGACAGTAGTACAATGTAGTGCTGGAAAATAAACCATTTCCTATGTTTGCCTTCTATATTAAAAATAATGTTTTCTTTGTATCAGAGTAGCTGTCTTTACCCTGATCAATTCAGAATTTGAACGAAGTTGTAAAAGTTTATTTTTGCAGAGCTACAAATGTTTTAATTAGCCCCAGTAGTTCGCAAGACATTTGTCTTGGTCTGTGCTTTTTAGTACATCATTACTGTGATGAAACACTATGGAAACAGCATACATTACATGGATTAGGGCTATTTAGCTGACATATCTCAAAAAGTAATGGACAACGAGAAGCAGCCATCTACTGGGCAGCAGTATTTGAACTGTGCTATATTTTTGAACAGATTTGGGAAATAAAAGATAAGCTGATCTCATAAAGGTACTGCGTTTGGTATGAACAACACATGCATTTGACAACAAACAAAGCGTGGTACACCGTTGTGTTCCGGAAAGTATTTAGTCAGGAGAGCTCTGAAGGTCATATTACACTCGGACTGAATGTTATGGCAGACTGGCGGTGTTGTATCAATGGCTGTATCAGTGCACTGAGCAAGAACTTTTGTAAAATGCTGGAAAATTTTCACTGTCTCCTCAAAAATCCCTTCCTCAGCCTCAGCCCACTAGCGTCAGTCTCCCCAAGCACCTGCAGGGGTCAGAATACTTTTAATTCACCAGAAGTTTCCACCAAAAAAAACACAACACCCAAACAACACTGCGATTTGGATGAGAACAGTTTGTAAAAACATAATGTTTCCTATGATCTGGAAACACTGCCTTTTGGTCATGTCTCTTACCGATGAGGCGTGTGATGGGGTGTTACCTTCTGTGTGTAGCTTTGCCAAGATGGATTTTAGAATGAGGCATGCAGTTCTTGTGGATGTATTTTTAAAAAGCTATTCACAAATCTGAAATCCTGCAGACGGGAATTTTAAAAGCTATTTCAGTGCTAGAAATGATGCTGCACAATATAATATGTGATGAAAGACTAAAATTCAACTTGCTTAGCTTATCGAAAGATGCAAAGTGATCTAATTACAGTGTATTACAAACTTCGAGTTGAAAAAGGAGCTGGTCTGTGCAAAATATGTAGGTATTTTTCCAGGACTTGTGAACACAGCCAGCATGGAAATCCCAGACATAGGTTTGCATGCACAGGAGGCTCAATATTTCCCAGACATGCCAGCCTTACGAGTCTTGTGCTGCACTGATGTGCGGTGTGCTCAAGGCACAAAGAATTCATTGGACCTAATGTGTCTTTGCATGTATGGGAACAAAGAAGCAATAGAAGCAGTACAAAAACAGATGAAGAAGAAAGCTAGAGACAGCTTAGATAAGAATGTTGTAGGGCCCTGAGAAAAAGAGAACAAATTTTTGAGACGAGTGCCAACAGAGAGAGGTTTCAGCTGTGAGCGGGATTAGCACCCTGCGTCACAGGCTGCTTACCCAATAATAGCTTCATGGGAGGGAGCAAAACACAGAAATATTTATGCAACAAGAACCAGAATTTAGGGTTCCCATACCCTCACGCTTTGTCCTTTACATGTGAGTCATAAACGACTCTTACTTATGCTTGTATTTCCCTTTTCTGGCCCCACTATATACTTCATTGCACAGTGGCACAGGTTCAACAGGAAAGGTAGAGAAGGCTCTTGCCCCATATCCAAGGACAGTCCATAGGGGCAGTGGAAATCCTTGGAAATCAGCAAATCCAGTATTTGATGACTTTGCAGAGCATGTGAATTTTCCTGCTTTCTCCAGCAAGAAGCAGTGATGGATCCTTACAAGAAAATTTACTTGACTTACTGCCTGTTGATTTACTAGGGAGTCTACTGATCCAAATTGCTTCGCAGCAAGTTGATTGAGGTACTGAAGTGAAATCCAGCTCTTAATTTTCCCTAGAAGGAATTTAGTAAATACCACAGAATATAGCTGTGAGAGAAACAGTCTGATAAACAGGCTGTAGCAGCTGAAACTTACTGGGCTTATTTTTCTGTAATGCTAGCATTACAACCGCTTCTAGGCTGGATGAAGTTGAAGACCTAATAGAAGTGGAGTTACAGCTTGGTCAGTGTAGAACTTTTGCAAAACTGGGCAGTGCTAATGAGAAACAATTACCCCATCCACTAATTCCTCAGCTCAGTCCTATTCACTCCTCTAGGGCTGAATATCTCTGTGTGAAAAACAGGTGCTCAGCATAAATGTCCCGATAAATATGATACTCACAATAATGACAACTGAAATACAGAGTTTGTTTTATGACACAGGTAAAGGCAATATCTATAGTATGAAAAATGATTTTTTTTTTCCTAATCAAAAAGCAGAACATCAAATTGTCTTCATGATTTTACATTTTCACAATTCCAATGTTTGCTTTTACACTGTTGATATATATTGATAACTTCTTGTGAATCTCCTCTGAGTTCTGGAACAATGGTGATTTTAATATTCTAGTTAAACTTTTTTTCTATGCAAATGTTTCCTTTCTGTACTTCTTTGTATCTTTGTTGCACACTAAATTCCTTCTCTATTCTTTAGTGGGCTAAGATCACTCTTGTCTCCTTTGTAGCAGTCTCTAGACATAAACTTTTCCATAAATAGGTTGTATACATGAGCAATCTCTGCTCCCAGAGACAATGATCAAGATGAAACCTGTTCCTATTACAAGCAGTGCTGAATCAGTCTAAAACACGTGAGAATAATTTCTCTCTTCTTCACAGAAGTATGGAGTTATTGCAGTAGTAGCTGGAAGGTGTTTTAAAACCCTTAAATGGAAAATTGTGTGAAACCGCAAAACTGAATATGAGAATTCAATGTAATGAAAACAATCTTTTTGAAAAAAAAAAATTGTTTAGGACCAGTTCCTAATACATACATACATATATATTCCTATCAAGGTAGTCTCTGTTTTCTTCAATCCTATAAACCTTTCCTCTCTGTTGAATTCTTAGCTTGGAATAACACAGGAGTTTAACATTTAAGTCCGCAGTAACTGACAGGCAGAGGTGTTTGCAGCTTTCTCCTGATGCACCTTAGGCTGCTTACATGGAACATACAAGTGAAAGGACCTGCTTTTTCAGTAGAGTCAGAGCAACTGCATAAGCAATCTTAAAAAATAAAATCGCATTACTGATTTACTTCTGCATGCTTTTAAACAGATAGGAGCTATAAATTAATAACATTGATTAATAAATAACCAATAAGTTCATATGACTGGCCATTTATATATGCAGCTCTTCACATTTCACTTTGATTACTGAAAGCATTGCACGTTCAAGCTAAAGTTTTGTAGGCACTTCACGATATTTATCTTAGAAATTACAAGGTTAAACAACTGGGGAGTCAATATCTGTTTAAGGCTATCTACCAGGAGGCTATCAGGAGAAAAAACTGCTGTGTATAGAAATCCAATTTTGTATTTAAATTGATCATCCTCAAGGTCATGTAGGTTTTAGCTTCTTTAGCTTGAAGAAAATCTTTTTAACAAGAAAACACTGTTAGTAAAGATGGAAAATTTGCTGTCAGTTTACGAAAGAAAAGTAGAAGTATTTAAAATATATGTCATATTCATATGACATATGAATATGTCAATCTAGCAAATATATGCATTTTTATTACAGAAAATCTGGCCACCAGAAAAAGAGGTGGATTAGATCAGCATCTA